TTGCTTTGTAAGCAGCCAGAAGCAGTATTCGCAACATCTTGTGTTCCTCTACTTTTTTTAGATTTAGCTGACAAATATTCCCCAGACCCATAAATTCAAGTTGACAACAAACTTGTATTGTTATCGTCTCTTCAAGTACTATGTTTTTTTTTTTTCCGATTCAATATTGTTTTATTAACGGGCAACCCCATAATAAATGAAAATATTCAGCTTTTCCGGCACCACGGGATCGCCAGCCTTGGGTATCACCATTCTCTGTGCCGGAGTAACAAAGAACCTTACAATGTTTTTTTCCAGCCATATTCTCTCCAAAATAATGAATATGTGGTTTTCCCTTGATACTCATTACTTCTCTCTCAGTCCTCCTCTAGTATCTGAATATTTGCTTCCCTTTGATTTTATCTGTAAATTAACAGATGTAATCAGAAAAATCAGACATGTCACAAAAAAAAAGATCATGGCTTATCTATGTGGGATTTTTTTTAAATATGCACAGTTTTTTACAAAAATGTAATTGAGCATTGGTTATATGAAATTGTGCAAAATTCACACAGATTGAAGTATTTTATATAGGCTATTCTTTTCCTCTTTCACACATTGCTGCCAAATCCTAAAATGATCTTATTCACTTAATCGAAATGTAGTTTTTCATGCTGTGCAAGTTGCCTCCAGAAATCAAAGTATTTTAATCTGGTTATTGAGTCTAGTTCTGGGAAGTATCCCAGCACACAATGGGCTTTTTTTCAGAAGGTTCTCAGGGTTTTATCTGTCCTTTTCTGTTTTCATCTGAACCCAGTTGTTCATATCTATCAGTTAGTAACAGCTTAGATTAAAACAGGCATTTTTACTAATTCCTATTGGATCCCACATCTAACATAATTAGTCATGATGCAGCAATATGTATACAGTGGATTTGCTCAAATTCTTTCAGGATCATCCTGGTATTATCTGCCAGATGAACTGCAATCTATTTCTTGCATGTTATAACAAACTGCCGGTTATTAAAGCATACTAACAGGGGAAAAAAGATCAGAAAAGATAGACTTTGTTTGATTAATAGGACATAAAGTAGAGCTGCAGGAGTTTGTGTAAGGGGAGCTTAAATGCACAGAAATATTTTATTTTTCACAAATAGTTCGGGGATATTTGCATCTGTGACGCCATAAAGGGTCATTAAGATGGTGCACATAACCTCAAGACACCACTAGGTGTCGAACTAGAGCTGTAGAGCCTCAGTCCAAAACTGAAATGGGTTTCCCAATAAAAGCTTGCCAGCTGTTTGTAAATGTCACTACATCTGTAAAACAGATGTAGTGAAACTATGTGCTCTACTCCCTGTTGTATTGAAACAGGACACTTTTATTAAGAAAAAAAAAATCCTAAAAAATGATATACATTGCAAAATGTTATAACAAAATGGAGGGATAAAAGTATATTTTAACATGCAAAAATATAAATGGCTGTCATTTGTTTATTTGTGCAATTAATAAATATAAAGTGGACTGACTTTAAAATACTTAAAAGGAGTGTTTAATTGCTTTATTTAATAATAACAATAATTTTAATAATAATAATAAGAATAAGAACAATAAAAATAATTGCACATGTTGCCAGTAACTCACATTTATTGCACACAAAACTAACAACCTTGTTTTAACTAGGAAGCTGCATGCTCTCCTGTTAGGTTAAGAGTAATACAAAGGAAAATACCTGGCCATGGAGTTGGAAGTAACATTAATATTAGTTACCTGAAATTATAATATCAATAGAATAACAAAAATGGTGACAATTATGCTTAGTAAAAGTTACATACATGTATGTCATGGTGCTGTAAACAAAAAGAAAATGAAATAAAAAGCGTAAAATATTGAAACCTGGGTAGAGGGAATGTCAGTTATAAAGCCTGTGTTGAAAACACTTTGTTGTTGTTAAAGTTCTTTTATTAGGCAAAAATTAACTAAATAGTAGTAAGTATAACCAGACAAGGGACATAGTTTATGAAAGGTCATTTTTAAAAAATTTTTTAGCTGATATTTTTATACCTTTATTTATATATCAAGTCCAAGTAGGCAGGTCTTATAAATCAAGTCTTTTAAAGTCCCACGCTCTAACCATGTCTGTGATGTTCATTCACTGAAAACCAGTTTGAGCCCTTTCCCAAACTGTCTCATGCTTGGACAATATTTTATTTCAATATTAAGTTTGTTCCATACATTATCCCTTAACTTATATCCCCCTCCCCAGCTTTCTGGTAGCTGTTGTCTGTATTTTCATACTTTAACGGAATAATACATTAGTGTGCTTACAATTGCCGGCCTAATGAACTATCTGTATGGTTCTTTTCTGGACGGTGCATAGTGGCTTGAGTGTTGTCCTATACAATAAGTGTTACTACAGTGTTCTGTGCAATAGCCCAGGGAGCAATAGCTCAAATCAGCTAACTGTAGACAATGTCTTTTCATTTCTTGTTTTTTAATTCTGAAACAGTTTTGCAGTTATTACAAAGGTTTCCAGCAGATTTTGTTGTCAATAATCACAACTAAGAATTACAATTCATACTTGTTCCATCTCTACCCCATCTGTTATGACTTCCCTTCATCTTCTGATGCTTATCTCTCAGAGACAAGTAGTTGGGGCCTATCTTCAGCAGTCTGGATGAAAGAGGGGGCAGGTGCAGGGCAACACACAACACATTTAACCATGCGCACAAGCTTATACCTAATAGCAGTTTAGAGAAGAAAATCCACCTAACAGTCATGGACTGTGGGAAGAAGCTGGGTGCCTAAGGAGAGCCCACACATGCACGGGGAGAACATGCAGACTCCATGCAGATACACCCTAGGCTTGTAATCAACCAAGGACATTCTTAATGAAAGAGAAGCAGTGCTACAAACTGTGCCACAGTGTAGCCCTCTGTTATGACTATCACATCTCTATCACATTTATTCTGAAATAACACAAACTTATATTTTTCTCTAAATGAGAGGGACAGTTTGTTTTTGTCAAATCAATTTCATTTGAGCTTTTCTTATTCAGAATGCTGCTGTCTGTATCCTCATTGAAACTAAAAAAATAGAACATTTCATCATATTTTGAAAGTATTAAACATTAAATGCCTGGATCTCAGAGAAGAGACTTAAATATGTATATCATTATATAAATAACTAACTAGCTTAGCACAAAAAACAACAACAACAGATCTGTTGTCTACATATAAACCTTACAGACCAGCCAGGCATTCTGAATTGAAGTTGCATCCCCAGAACAAAAAGAAGGGAATAGCACAATTCAGTTGGCTCCCCTTACCTGGGAAAAAAAAAGACTATAAATGTGATGAAACCCTAAGATAATTGTCTATAGGTTGTTTTTTTTGTTTTGTTTTTTTTTAGATGTCTGCTCTTGCTATACTTCCCTGTTTTACTTTTTAAATGTTAACTAAATCCTAACTAAAATATTAAGCTATTATTTTCTTTTCTAAAAGAAAAAGTGCTTTTCTAAAGCACTTTGAAGTTCCCTACTGCTAAAATATGCTGTACAAATAAACCTGCCTTGGCTTGTGGGATAAAGCAATCAACAGTGTTAAAGGAAAGCTCTTTAATCTACACCTTGAAGCTTTCTCTCTCCGGTTCTTTTCCTGAACCGGAGAGTTTTGTTGTGGTTTCTGAGAAACTCATGGGTGCCCCAGGATTTTAAAAGTTTTTTATTTGTTTTTTTGCCAGGAATAGATTAGAGGGTTGTAAGGATTATTTACAGTCACAGGATAAAAAGGTCCTGTAATTTTGTCTCATTTCAATATTTCATGTTGAAGCTGGGTAAATGAGGATGTGAGGGGAATTTTCTTCAAACCATGGAGCGCCCAAAGTACATTTAAGTTTCAGTGAAGTAAGTTTATTTTTTTTTCTTTTAACAGCATTTTTTAATAGACTCTCTCTGAAAAATATTTGAAGCTCAAAACATCACACATTTATTTTTGTGTTTATTAACACTGAACTCAGCATTGATAATACACCTCACAACCATCAAATGTCATTTAGAAAAAGTTCCTTGAACCTTTAACACTTAAAAAAAAAAAACTAGGGCAGAGCAGTTTATTTTTTGGGGGGGAAACACACAAAACATAGAAGAATAGAAAAGGAAAGATAACATTATTGCATTGCTGGTATTTTTCTCAAATTCTAAATTTAATCAAATGAATATGGGAACTTGAAAAGTAGAGAGAGTCCGCCCATATGTTAGTTTCTCCACAACTGGTCGGAGCAGCGTCTGCATTCTTCAAACTTATCTACCAGGAGCTGCCCTGCAGACCTGTAATCAGAAGCATGAGTCACAGGAAGGTGTTTAATAATCCATTCATCCATTTTCTGACAGGCTTTATCTCAAGTGGGGTTGCGTGCCTATCTCCAGCTGTCTATGGGCGAGAGGCGGGTCACTAGTCCATCTCACAGCAACACAGAGACAAACAGGACAAACAACCATTCACAGCCTTTAGATGTAATGACACTACTTAAGACCTACAGTAAGTACGACGACAGATTAAAAGGTAGTTGACCTTTTTCGCTCTTTCTCAACTCTCTGCCATCCGGGTTGCTGTTTCGCAACGAGTTAACCTTGGTTTGTCTGGCTGGTAGTCAAGCGACCCCATAGATTTAACACTCACGCCAAAGAAGAATTATTTTGGACAGTGGGAGAAACCCACGCATGCTTAGGGAGAACATGCAAACTCTAAGCAGAAAGACCCCGGGCCAGGAATCAAACCCGCAATCTTCTTACTGCAAGGCTGCAGTGCTACCCTCTGCACCACTGAGCTGCCAATTTAAAAATCCCTTAAAGGAAATCCTGTTAAATCTAAAGGCTCCTCCAGTGCATGTGGAAAACAACATTGCCTTCTGAAATGCATCTATCCCTTCATCTCTCATGGTCAATGTGTCATTGTGTTATAATTCAGTCATGTTTGTTGTTATGTTATCAATAAAAGGTTTTAGATGGCTTTCAACACACACCTCAGGAATAGCCTCTCCTCTTCTTCTCGTTGGTGTTTGAGCTCCACGCTTCGACTCCACTCGTCCTCAAGCGACTTTCGGATGTTACGCTTCCTTTCAAAGTGATTTGCTTTATCCTGAATCAACCTGTGCAGAAGACAGTACAGTGCGTTTAGTTCTATACCTTCTACTTTTCATGTTTCTCTAAATTGAACTTTTGTCTCTCACTCTGTTTTTGTGCGTTGGAGTATTTCCCTTTCTTTTTCCAGCTGAAGTTGACGGATCTGCATCTCTTCCTTATTTCTCTGAGTAGCAACGCTGAGATTCTCCTGAGACACCTGACATCAGTGAAACATACTGTAGCTCAAAAAGACCACTTTTGGTTAAGACTAGTGTTGCACCAATGCCATTTTTTGGCCCCGATACCGATATCTGGCTGTGCAGTATCGGCCAATACCGATACCATACCAATACCATTTGTTTGAAATTGATGTGTGTGTATAAATTAAGAACTGCATACTACTTGGATGTAAAATAATTGCCATCATGGCTTTGTCAAGCTGCTGCCTACCTTTGTGAAGCAGGAAAAAGACTAATATAAGTGAATCCAGTAGAATTTTTTATGCTTACCTGGAATGGGTGACAATAGTTGAATAAACTTTTGGCTCTCAAAATGGTATCGGTGCCCTATTTGTTGGTACTCGCCGATACCGATACCAACATTTTAGTGCAGGATCGGGGCACCGCCCTATACTGGTATCGGTGCAACACTAGTTAAGACCTACAGTAAGTACTAAACATGGCCTCTTTTCTAAAAAAAAAAAAAAAAAAAAAAGTCTAAGGCCAGTAACTAAAGACGACAGATTAAAAGGTAGTTGACCTTTTTTGCTCTCTCTCGACTCTCTGCCATCCGGGTTGCTGTTTCGCAACGAGTTAACCTTGGTTTGTCTGGCTGATAGTCAGGAGATCCCATAGAAACCTTATTCACAACCTAAAATCAAAAAACAAAGTTTGTAAGTAGTTTTGCCTCCCTCCAGGAGGAGGCTAAGAGAACGCAATTGGACATGCTGGAGGAAGTATATTTCTTAGCTGGCATGTAGTCCCTCAGGCTTCTCCAAACTTATAAGTTCTGTGTAAGTTGCAGGGCTGCCCAAGCTGCCCCTAGAGGGAAGCTGTCCAGCAGGTTTTAGAGGTTTCCCAGGTACAGCACAGCTGACAGTGACAATTGCAGTTTAGCAAAAGCCTGTTAATCAGCTATCAATGGATATCAGCTGTACTGAGGCAGGTAAACCTCTAAAAACTGCAGGACAGCGGCCCTCAAGGGGTAAATTTGGGCAGGCCTGGTCTAGGGAAATCTGGAGGTCCCTGATGCCACTGCTGGCCAGAGACACAGACTTCAATAAGTTGAAGAAATTATGTAATGACTTTTACACCCTTAATGTTGACAAGTAAACTATTTTTACCTGCTGCTGTTTCATTATTAAAGATACAAGAAGCAGGTTAAAGAATAGAGAAATTAAATAACATAATACTTCAAATCTAAATCTGCTGCAATGGTTTTCCTACCTGGGTGTCCAGAGCCTTCTTGTTAAGCCTAGTTTTCTCCTGTTTCTGTTGGAACTGCTGAGCTTTTTGCAGAGCCATCCTGAAACAAACACACACACACATATATACATGAATGTTACACTATATAAGCTATTGATGGCTAAAATTAGTTACTTACAACTTTATCAGCTGGATCTGGTTGAGGCGCTCTGTGAGAAGATGGTACTGCTCAGGCTTGGACTGGTAATCTGTGATACCGGGCATTTGGGCGGTGGGCCGGTCCTATATTTAAACATGCGAGGGCCGGCCCCCTTTAAACCATACTGGCCCAAACACTTACACTCTGGCCGAAGCACCTACCTGTGACAGTAAATAACTCAATGAGCTCAAGAAGTAATACAATGTTTATTACCTAATTAATGCATACAGTATATAAAGCCCTTCCTTGTCATGCACGACATTGTGATGCATATGCATATGCATAGAAAAATTTTCTTTTTCTTTAAACTGTAAAATACTTGCAACAAACAAAATTATATAAAATTAAATGCTTTCTTTAAACCAAACTACGATGCTCCTCTTATATTTGGCGAATTTATGTACGAATATTTTGGAAAAATATGTTGCGGTGCATGATGGGGTTTTGCATCTAAAGGCTAACGTTTCCCATCTTATGTGTATTGTTGCCAGGTTGGGAAACATCCCAACCTGGCAGTTTAGGATGGCCGTCTATGGGTAAAAAAATTTTTTCTTTAGATTTATGGCCTAAGAGATAGATAGACTTTGGTTCAAATTGGACAGGATCTCGTATATTCAGGCAGTTCATGAAAATTTTTTGGGCACGAAAACATGAGTCAGTGACATCTGGCAACCCTGCTGATGTGGTGAGTGGCACTGGTGATGCTTCTAACCTAGTATTAAGACTTTGGAAGGCATTCAATTGAATGTGATGGCTGTGTGTCAAGGTGTACAATTCACCACTTCACCACTACTACTCTTAATAGTAGTAGTATCAGTAGAAGTGCTGGTTTTGTTGATTTCGGTCTGTTGACTGATGGAACCATGGACTTGCAGTGGATGCTTACACACTGCTAAGGTTTCATGTATTTATTCTTGAAGAACTGCTTGTCTGCCTCTATATTGCATTGTTTTATGTTGGTATTTTTACAAGTCTCGGGCTTACGTTGTAGACCTAGTATGTGTGAGTGGGTTGGTGTGTGGCTAGCTTTGTGCAATTGTACACGTTACGCAGCATCATTCCATGAGTGGGCCGGTGTAGATGGAAAAATGCAGGGGCCGAAAATCATTCACAGTCCGAGCCTGGTACTGCTGGTCTTGAGCTTTGAGATTCTGCCGCTTCTCCATCTGCCTCTGTAGATCATTCATGTACAATTGCTGTTGTTTCCCATTCAGAGGTCTGAAATGCTTCTTATTGTGTTACCAAAACTGGTTTAGGACATTTCTGATGTGTAATAGTAAATAACAAAAAGAAAACACATCATCAATGGTTCCTAGAAAACCAAGTTTGGCTTAGCAGTCTAAAAAGGGTTGTTGAACTATTTCTCTATTGATTTAGGACTGGTGTCCTGGCAAGCCTGATCAACTGGATGGAAAGATGGAATAAATCCTTTTGTGAACCCCCTACAGGCCACCTTTGGTGAGAAAGTTGCATCCCTGTGCCTTTAGGTAGGAGAGACAGCTTGGGCTCCTCTCGGGGAAACCATTATCTTGATAGGGGACTTTAATGACCATGTGGCAATCAATAGTGACACTGAGAGGAGCATGACTTCCCAGACCTTTCGACACATTTCTTGAGATCGGGAGTTTGCTTTTCCATGGAACAATTTAACCTTTAGGCTTGATTACTCCCTGTTTCAGACTGGGGAGGCTGGTTGGTATTTATTCCTTTTTGTGGGTATTTTTTTTATTTTTTTTTAAATACATGCACGTATTTCTGAGAGAAGTGAAACTGCTTTTATTGCTTTACATCTATATCATATGACATGTGGTGTACACTCACAAGGTAGCAATAGATAGATAATAATGAAATAATGAGCATGTCTTGTTTTCAAATACAATTCAATGGAGAGATTATTCAATGATATCAATTATTTGAGTTACAGAAAAAAAAAATTGAATAAATGCACAAACTCACTTGTCCACTATGGAGCTGATTAGGGCAGCTGATATATTTGACATGAAAGAAAGAGAGAGATTCCAGTTCCATTCGACAAATTATGTAGCAAGTATTTTCAGCAACTAAATAATAATCAATTATTATCTTAGTTATAACACTTTAAAATATCTGATTGGCTTTCAAATTAAACTCTTTTAGAACAGGGGTATATGTTCCAGAAGACAAGCTGATATTCTACATAAATAATGTCAGATTATTTCACTGCACTTACAATAAAATGGCTTTGAAGTGAGTAGAAGTCTTTCACAGAAAATGCTTTTATATGACTTCAAGCTTGACTAAAGTCACCCATTGACTGCCCTCACATATACACTTACTATTACAGTACTATTGCTACAGGGGCTTGTTTCTTTTAAAAGAATAAAAAAAACAACTTTAGGTCTTGAGATCTTAAAGTTCTCCTGGGTTTGTATGTAACTGTTAGGGCTTGCTAAGGTAAACAGGATTTGAAGCTCAGATGAACTCCCTGCTGTTTTGATGGAATATAACTGCTCTGTAAAAACATTTACATAATAGATTCTGGGTGTGTTTTTTACTGGAAGCATAGGGTGGATGATGAGCCGAAGGGAAAATCTAACCTTTCTACATGAATTATGGAGTTTGCACGGTTAAAGAGGCAGTGACAGTAATTTGCTGCCCCCACTGAGATCTGAGCTCTCTCTGATAAGGCTTAGTACAGTGCAAACTGATCCTCCATAGGAAGTCTCTGTGTGGGTTTCTATCCGTGTGTGTTCACTAACCTCTGGGGGGGTCAGTTCCTCAGTCAGGTCAACAGGTTTCATTTGCAGTTGCTGATTAGATTCTGACTCTCTCCATTGGAGAACCTCTGCAAAGACACCTAATACTCTGAATGGGTATTAAGGTTAGGCTCCCTTTTAATGATTATTCCATTAAAAATAAACATTTTTTTTTCTTTATCTCATTTTTTTTAGTATGTTTGACTTTTAATTGAAAAGCAAAAACACCTCAGATGAAACTGCTTTGAATCTGTCAGTATCCAAAATGTTGACTATAGGCCTTTAGGTTTTTAAGCAAGAGTTTTTAACCTATTTACCAATTTCTGCAAAGTAAAAAATTTCCACATTACTTAAAACTGAAGTGAAATGTAGCTGCATCTCAATAAATTACAGTGCCATTCAAAAATGTATTTATATCTACAATTTATATCAGAAAATAACACATTAGCAATTAAACATATTTACTGCACGTTTGATATATTTAACATGTTTTCAGAAAACATGTTTTCCTTTCATGTTCTCGAGGCACAAAGAACAAGAGAAAAGTTTGTTTTGCTAGTGTTTAAACTTTAGAAGAAGCTCGGCTGCTGAACTCATAGAGAGTGCCATCCACTCTAGCTTACATAAACACAAAAGCAGCAGAAAGGTATGTTTATCGGATTAATATTGAGGGGGGATGATATATAAATGCGATGAAGCCTATTACTTAGAAGACACATCTTACAAATGTTTGTATTCTCTCACTACCTGTTCCAGTGAATCCTTAAGCCGTCCATCCATGTAAGAATTTCTTTAGAGAGGGATTTCTGACCCGAAAAACAACAGTGGAAAATCCCCTTTTCAAATGTGAGAAAAAGCACGGGTCTGCAAGTACAAGTTGCATAAGAATAAGGTCAAAGGGAGTATTTCTCAAAAACTGTCAAGGAATGACATCCCTTCCAGTTCATGAAACAGGAGTTTGGGAAATGGTGAAAAACAATGAATGGTCAAAGGACAGTTGAAGATAAAAAAAATTTAGTGTTGTTTTTACTGCTTATCAGGAGCAGCCATGTTATTACACTGAGTAAAAGGAAAACATATATACATTAAAATTCTTAATTCACAGTCATTCTACTTTTTTATTTTGGGTCTAATTTTGAGCTTCTAATTTTGAACTGCTTTGATTGCAGCCTTTCATCCTAGTGGTGTGGAATGTATTTAAAAGGTAGGAAATGTTGACAAAGTTGTTCAGAAACAAAGAAGATTGTAAGCAGACCCCTCCATCTTGGATAATTATTTTGTTAACCATCTGAGAAGAGCAGAAAGAGAGCAGATAGTTAGCAGGGTGATGAAGCCCGCAGTCCTTGGCTTTTGAATCTCAGGAAATTCGTCAGAATGTAAGGAAACACTACCACCAGCTCTCTAGAAGCAAAAGTAAAAGTAATCTGAATGGATTGGTTTTCTCAACACTGCTTGTAAATGAAAACACACTTTTCTCCTCATCATATTAGATTTTGTTAGTATCACCAGTGTGACTGGTTTTATTTTAAAAAGTCCTGCCAAAATTCATCTGACACCTAAAAAAAAAAATACCATTTAGTGTAACAGCCTCGTCAAAAACAAAAGAAAAACCTAAAAGATATGTGTTAGAATTTTCCTAATAAGTTTTATTTTATTTATTTATTTTTATTTTTATGAAAATGTCAGATTCTTCCTTGTGGAAAATATAAAATACTATTTAAGTAAAAAAAAAAAAAAAAGCTGAAATTTGACAGTGAGAGCAGGTTTGCTGTTGTTAAGAGAGCAAAGATGAATGTAAATGTCATCCTAATTCCGTTAAGATATATACCCTACAACTTTTAGTTAGCTATAAAAATGCTCAGTACACCCAAGGGGAAATGTTTGGGATGTTTATCTTTTTTTCCTCTAACTACAACACAGCTGTGTTTGGATGACTGATCACAAATAATCTTATACAAAGTTTATAGAGAGAGCTGGTAAACACAAACAACATTTAAGGAATCTCATTAACAGTTTATTTCACAAACAGAAATAGACTTTCTGCGGATGGATGGATGGATGGATGGATGGATGGATGGATGGATGGATGGATGGAT